AAATACTATTTTTAAATATTAGAAAAGCCGTGAGCCGTGGGGAACCAAAGTTGGTTATCAAGCAGCGACACCTAAGGTTCAAATATCTAAATAAACATTAGTCGAATTTTAGCAACTTGATTGTTGGAGCACTGTTATTATTGATGAGCGAGGCTTTGTTAGTTAAACCATCTAATTGATAGTCAAACAACAAACATTGCGCAATACAAATTTTTTGTGAATAACATATCAACTATTTACTGGTTCGTTAGGAGCTACTATGGTTCGGCCAGAATCTTTCCGGGTCTGCATTTTATCTGGAACAGGAGTGGGCCATAATCGGACATTTATCCAGGCCACACACAAAAAAAAAATTATTTATCTAAAAAAGGCAAGAGGAGAGAATGCGACCATAGCTTTATGCATGTGAGATTTTTGAACATAGACTTTCGGATTTTATGCTTGGTGGCGAATAATCTGAGTGTGACAAGGGCCACACTCAATAGCCCAATGGGCCACGTCTTGGTCAGCAGCCTTCTGTCGACCCCCTTCCACCCTGTTAGATGCAAACAAGAAAATCGATGCTTTGGGAAATATTACACCAAATACCAATGAAAGTATCATTGCCCGCTTTGTTCGGTCTCAAGTTTCAGTGTCAAATTTTAATTATTCATCAGTTTCAATGATTAGTGTTCTGTTCGATTGCCCCACATTTTTTAGTTTATTTCTTTTTTCGAAAGTTGCGGTAGACAGCGGATTTGTAGATATAACAAGTGTACATTGTGGATATGGCTCTGTATCATGGGCTGTTATTGTTAAGTAGACAAGAATATTTGTGCAAATAGAAACAGTATATTTTGTGCAAATAGAGAAACAGAAACAGCATATTTGTACAAATATTTGTGAAGTGCTTTGAGGCATATAGATAATTACATTAAACAGTTTCACTTTTATTCTCTCTATAAATACCAAGTTTTGCTTTAAATGTGTTTCCACAGAGATATTTTATTCACCTTCAATAGACTGCTAGTAGTTGATGCTTCGTCAACTAAATGATATTTGTATTTTTCCACTCCAATATCACCATGGAAATTCTAAAATTTCAACTTCTGGCTGTAGCGAATTCAAAAGCACAACTTCGACTCTTGAGAGACCCTGATGCAACGGAACAAATTTTCAGAGCTGGATGCATTTCTCTGAACTGAAACCAGAGTAATTTTTCCATGAATTAGATCGGTTTCTGTGCAAAGTGCTGTGAGGCATGTAGATATTCACAAATAGTTTCACTTTTAATGCCTAGTTTTGCTTCTAATGAGGTATTTTGTTTGTCATGCTCAATGATAAGAAAGCCAACAAACGAAAATAAAAGTATAAATGCATTTCAGTAGAATGAATCATGTAAGGACATGTTATCTTATTTTCACCTCGACCATTACCTCATAAGATAAGTATTAAACTAAATCTGATAGCCAGAAAAAAGTTTAATTTCCCCAAATTGTAAAAATAGAATATCAATCCATACTATGTTTATAATACAGTTTCTATGGAAACCAACCCAATGATCTGATTTATAATTTGTAAATTTCATTTCAAAATGTATTCAATTTTTACACCGTTGGCTTTGAACGAGGCCCTACTGAAGCACCCACTGGTATCTACGGTAATAGCATTATTATTTGAGTGTCTGGAATATTTTCAGTTCGGCATTACTTACCCAATTTATTCCTGAGTGAGGCGGATTGAACCCTAGATAGTTAACATGTAAATAGTCTTATCAGCTTCTTGAAATGAATATATAGCTTGGTGTTGGGGCGCATTGTGCAAAGCGTTTGGAATACGCCCGCTATCACACCTCGGATAAGTCCCATGGGGGAATAGTTATGTGTGAGAGGATTGCTGGGCTCCTCCATCCCGTAGGGGAGTTCACATATTTACTGTTGTCAGTTATGGCTTTCTCCGCCATCAAGTCCATGCAACCATGAGAGGCTGTGGTTTGTTATATGATTAAGCTGTCTTATCAGCTTTGATCTCCCCCGAGATAAGAATATAAATCTTATCCTACATGAAACTCATATCTGCAGATTATTCGGTTTTGATCGTTCTTTAATTCCACGTTAACCTGAAGCATTGTTATTATTGTAAACGCTAACTCGCGTAAACCATTATTGAGAAAGTGTCATTTAATGCTTCCGGCTTGTAATTTTAAGTAGAAAGGTGATTAATCATCATTGTTGTCAGGTTGGCATGTAAGGAACAAGTTTTAAGCTTAGTAGAGCTTTGAAGTTTATTTTATAGCCAGTTAGTATAGCATAGCGATATGTGCAGGGTGGTCGTGAAAGAATAGAACCCAATTGGAACATATTCTAGAAATAACCTGTAAAGTGTTACTGAAACTTTAGGGTACAGATTTCAATCATACATAATCAGAATTTCAAGTATTAATTAAACTTCTTCATTTTCGTAGAATTAATTAAGAAACTTATAGACTTTTGTGTGGTTGAATAGCCTAGGAGTCAGATAGTAAAAGAGTTTCAGAACATAAGGATAAATCTTGGAATTTTGAAAAAATTTTTTTTTTAAAAATATAGCAAAGTGCAATTTAAGCAGCTGCCTCTCGTTATATCCTTACCTTAAGTATTCCCACCACAGAATTCTCTGTGTTCATAAAAACTCTTCAGAAATCCAACTTGAATTCTAGGAAAATATAAATAATTGGATTAACAATATCAAACTATGGAGATTTTGGTCTTTTCAAAGTATAGAAACTCCTTAATGAGACACTGCTTGCACAGAGCCTTGGTTAGAGTGAAAAGCATGTAACATTACTCATTAATAATATTATTATGTTGTTCTTGTTCTTTATTGTAAAATTTTATCGTTATGAACAAAACCTCGTTTCTCTTACTGGACCAATTGCTTTGAAATTTTCAGTGGTTGAAGATTGTTGCTAGAAGGCTATTACTTTTGATTATTCCAAATATTTCTGTTAGCTCTATGGAATCCATTTTTGTGTGCTATGTTCTCATCAAAATTTGCGCATCTTGTGGCGGTTCTTTGCATATCAGCGGATCTCCTATATGAGATGATAAATCACCAACGTAAGGAGAAACTCTCTAATCTGATCTATTTACCATGTTTCGTTTGTTGTTGGTTTATTGCTCAAGAGCGGCTTAAAGCAAACAATCAAACTTATAATCCGGATAATTCATATGCCTTGCTACTGGGTAAATGGAGTATGGAAAATTCCGCCTCAAATTATAAAATTAGTCTTTAAAATGAAACAGTATGTTCATTTTCAGGTGTAAAAGCCTTGCGCTAATGCTCAGTGTTTCTCAAAGTGTTCATGCAGGCCACTAGTGGGCCTTGAGGAGATTTTAAATTGACCGGTGTTTTCATAGGGCCTACAGTAGGTCCCAAGCAACGTCGTCAATTACAAATTGGAAAGAGAGGGGATTTAGGCTTGAACCAAGGTTTGGAAAATCAACTTAACAATCTGATAAATAAACATGTCAATTACGCTTTGCATACACTGCATTGTTTTATTCAATTATTCAACCATGCGCAGCTTACAAATATAGGTTCAAATCCCATGGCAGGGACAGTTATGTGTGTGAGGTTTGCCGGACTCTGCGTCGGCGTAGGGTGGTTCACGTAACCGGTATTCGGTTTCGGCTTTCTCCACGAACAAGTCTATGCTTCCGGAAACAAATAACTGACTAACTAGGTATGCCCGACTTGGAATGGTTACCGGATGATAGGCCGTGGTTAGTCATATGGTTGAGCCGTCTCTCCGATTTTCCTCTCCCCCAGGATAAATATAAACTTTCTATCATATTCAACATACACAATGTAAAAATGATCAAAATATGGCATTTCAGGATGAACAGAGATGCAAAAAAGCCATACTGGTTATTGAGAATGCATTACCAATGCATATTCATGAGGTTTTCGCGCAATCGGGCTGACAGGTTCAGTTTTAGCAAGTTTTTAACAATTGTTCCTGGTTGGGTTTACCTGTTGAAAAGTTCAGGTAGTTGAGGCTGACTATGTAACTATTAGCTGCGAGAATATCCCATACTTTTCTACCAACTCCAAGGTGTTTTAGTTTAAAGTTGCTATTTAAAAAAATACTAGAACAATTAGGCATATTTCAGATTTTAAATGATTGTGGTGAATATATTTTATTGTCAAACAATTCAACTTACAATGTAGATAATTTTTATGCCTGGCTGCTGCGTGTCTGAAATCTGTGGTATTAAGGACTAATCATGTTTTGAATTTCAAATAAAAGACTAATGTGCGTTAATGTGGCATTTATGCATTTTTAGGAGTATTTTTCTCTTATCATGCGGATACTGTCGTGGATATATTTCCTTTTACGAATATTATCTAAACACTATTCTATGAAACTATGATGTGTCAGTAGTTTCTTGTAACTTTGTCATCTTCTGAGTGAGTGAGCAATATTATTTGCTTTTTTTACTTCTGAGTAAATACACGTAAATTCGCTCAGAGATGAGTAAAGTTTATTCTTATTTCTCAGTCATTGCATGAATGAGTCTCCTTTTTTTTTGAGACAGTGTGTATACCTCTGCTCAGAAATAAATCTCTTTTAATTCTGGGTGAGTGTCCGTAACTTTGCTCAGAGATGAATCTTCTTCACTTCTGAGTGAGTGCCTGTAATTTTGCTCAGAGATGAGTCTCCTTTACATCTGAGTGAGTGCCCGTAACTTTGCTCAGAGATGAGTCTCCTTTACTTCTGAGTGAGTGCCCGTAACTTTGCTCAGAGATAAGTCTCCTTTACTTCTGAGTGAGTGTCTGTAACTGCTTAGAGATCAGTCTTTTATTTACTTTTGAGTGAGTGCCTGTAACTCTGCTCAGAGATGAGTCTCCTTTATTTCTGAGTGAGTGTGTATAACTTCTCAGAGATCATTCCCCTTCACTGAATACATGTGGCCCTTTTTGAACTAATTCTTTCAAAAAACATGATTGAAACTTGATCATTTTTCTTATTTTGACAGATTTCGTATAATTAGGAGTGAACCTAACGACACAAAAATTGAAAACGAACGGGATCTCGATCTATTTGAAGACAGGATGTAAGATTATTTTTTCAAGCTGTTTAGTTCGCCTATTTTCCATCAAGTTGTGTGAAGGGACGAAAACTTATGGGCAGGGGGTATGTTCACTAGGCTAACACAGACAGTCCCCGAATTCGCTAATAAGAAAAATCGGAATAAAATTACAGCCTAACCCTAACCTTGTTCACACACTGCAGTAGTATCTAATTTATTCCACCTTTGTTGAGGTGGGGCCATGGGATTCGGGTCCAGGATGTGTAACTAACGATGCGAACTCAGTCCAACTCTAATGCTTCAACCACCAAGCAACCATACTAAAAATTCAATGTTGAATTTGAGAAGGGAGATCAAAGGTCATAAAATAGTCGTGATTTTTTAAAGATTTTCTAATTTAAATTATGTGCCCTTTTTTATATATATTTATATTTTATCATCTGTTATGCTGATTAGGGAATTAAACTTATAATACTCCTACCTAATCCGAATCCAATAGTGAGGCCCGCAGTCAAATTTATATCTGGTTTCAACATTAATTTTGAGTCAAGTGTTTGTGGGGTTAATTTGCATATATTTTCAGACTCATAGCGTTAAAGTGGATGTTTGTAGTCAAAGTTTTGTTTCAGTTTTATAACTATTTTTCGTCTGACAGACCTATGTTATTTAAAATATGAATTTCCATTCCAGGGATGACGAACTAAAAAGCAATTTTGGATTTCCTGATCGAAATCATATCCCACCAGATGGTGGCAGTAAAGAGCAAGGAACAACTGACGAGGGATTGATGGGATCGACGTCAGATTATGTTCTGATTGCTATGATCGTTGCAATGATGGTAAGACCACCTAACTTTCAGAAATCGGTGATTATTATTAATTGAAAACGGGCACATCGGATACCTTTAAAAGGCTCATCTGACGTTTCTGGTGCAGAAATACATCTACCGAGGGCTTGCGAGCTGGAGTCGTAGCCGTGATGTCATGCGTTACATTTTGATGCTGCCAGAACTACGAGAAATTTTAGTGGCTCAAGCCAGCTTCCCGGCCCTGCCAACAATGCGCGAATCAAGACGAGGCCTGATTGTCGTGAATCAATATTTCGTTTTAATAAAAGTGGAGTATTTCGTTATTAATATTCCATTAAAATATTTCCGTTATTACAATTAACGAAAATGGAGAGAACTTGAAAGTTTCAACCCAAACGAAACATCTCCACTATATAATTCCCTTAAATTTCCTAATTTTTTACGACCATAAAATCTACTATTTACCTAATTATGTTTGACTCAAGTAATAATGTAATGAAATTTCAATATTTCACAATTGGGTGCTCCAGTGTGCCGATATGGAGGTAACTAATTTTGTACGTCTACTTTACATCAAGTTGTGTAAAGGGACTGAAACCTATGGGCACTTGGCTAACACAGACAACCCAAACTCGTAATAGAACTAAAATAAGGAAAATCGGAATAAAATTATGGCCTAACCTGGTACACATACAATAATGGTGCCATGTATTATAACGCACCACGCAGCATTAAAAAACGTATCTCAATCATTTTTGGGGATACTTGACAAGGCATTGGAAACTAGCAACAAAGGCAATAATAGTGATGCCATAGATTTTAATATTGATACCATAAAATATAATGTCACTGTCACCACCACAGCAGTCAATCACATTGAACATGCTTTTAATTATGACACGAATGCCTCAAAATATGACATTGGGGCCACGGGAATAGGCAATTAACCACAATCAATTCCAATCACATTGAACGTCCCCCTAACCATGGCATCAAAACATGGCATTGGGGCCACAGGAATACTCAATGAATTACAACAAATCGTAACAAAAATGATGGAAGACTCATGACTCGACTTTACTCACAACTTGAGAGTTCAGTGACTTTTGAAATATCTTAGGTCCAAACCCCATACCCCACCTCACCCAGGGTGTAAATAGGGGTAGAACAATGAGGAAACGGAAAAGATTTCGATCCAAACACTTGATGGTGGAGGAAGCAGTAACCAACCAGCGATTATGTAAACCACCCTACGGCGATGAGGAGTCGTAGATTACAGACCCACATAGGGTAATCAGAGGTGCAGTGGCGAGTGTATTCCTAACTCTCAGCACGATGCGCTAGTACATTTGAGGTAAAAGGCATGATTCAACAGTATAAAAATGAATATTATTTCCTTTGCAGTTCTGCATGACGCTCTGTTGTTTGTGTTTGTTTTGCCGATCCTCGTCTCGTCTTTCAATCTGTGGAATCAATTTCGAATTGAACGATCGAAGAAATTCACTAGGTGGGTAAAGGGTTAATGTTAATTAGTGAGAAAGGGTTAATCAGTATGAAGGTGATGTTTTTTGACTATCAGGCATTACATTACAGATAAGACAATAAGATATGGCGAACCATGGCCTCTCGTCCGGTTACCAGTCCATGTTGGACATGGGATTAGTTAGCTATTTATATGTTTCAGATGCTTGGACTTGATGATGGAGGAAGCCGTATTCGACCATCTTACGGTGGAGAGAAGTCTAGCAATCCTCTCGCACATAATTATCCACCAAACTCAGGGTAATCATAGCTTAGAAATACACTTCTGTAGTAAGCTTATTCTTAACACCTGGTGAGATGCACCACACCGCTGTGTCTTGCAGCCCCCGATACTTAAAAGACAATTCAAGTTATTACTGTCACGAAACTTTAATATTTAGAGAGATGCCAACAAAACAGGCCGTTTCATTTCACTATGAAACATTACTTTCATATAATACGAGTTATGTGTTACACATCGTCCCAGGGTTATGGGTGATGATGCCAAGACCACCAGGAAGAGATAGAGGGTAGTTCTAAGATTAGACTCTGACTTCAGTGAAAATATAATACACCTTGCAGTCCAGGCGTATAATAAAGGTACATCGGATGACTATACTAGACTGACAATTATTAAATGTTGATTGGTTACAAGAATATTTCCCAAATTTAAAAATGTTGGAAACAGAACATAGCTCATATTCAGCGCCCCCTTCCAAGTCTGTACGGCAAGCTTCTCTGATCCTATGCATTCTCTAAAAATAATGAGATTTATATTTTGTACTAGTGTTTCAAATCAAAAGTATAAACGAGAATATCGGTTGGAAACCGAAGACTTATCGATCGATAGTTAAGGGATCCCCAAAAAAGAAACTGCAGTTTCGATTCATCCGCTCTTGTAACTTGCGCACTGCGCATCGCACATACACACTCGGCGGGTCGCAAAATGCTCTCGCTTTACAAAAATCTAGATCACTATATCAATAATTGATTGATAACTCGCTAATTATACGACATAATTCGCTCAAAATCAATAGGCTTCTGGTCCGAGATAAGATGAATGCACATGCAAAATCTGGAGCAGATTCAATCTCGCTTTCGTGAGATATCGCGTGCATCTAACAGACAAACATACAGACAGACAAATACCTATCAACATACTTACCGATTGAAATCGATAAATAAAAACAGAATATAAATGAAATTGGTGCTTTTTGCGGCCCCTAAAATTTGTTGCGCGCCTCCATGTGGGGACGCGACCTCAGTTTGAAAAACACTGATTTAGAACTGTTTTAGAATAAATAAATCTCTCACATAACTAATTCGAATACCTTACCCTCCTTTTTTCAGATAACGGCGAAAACTTGAGTGAAATTCATGAAGTTGTTCCACTGACACCAACAACAGCTGGAGATTGTGAGTTTTGCATTTTTTCTCAAAATCTAGGAAGTAATTTTCAAATACTACGTGTAGTCTAGCGGTTAGCAGCAGTGGTTCTCAAACTTTTTAGGCCACGCCCCTTTTTTATAACTTGTCCCGCGTCCCACCCACCTCAAAAATAACTAGCTAACAATAAGCTACAAATAACAGATAGAAAGGCCAAAGTATGTTTTATTCCCAAAACATGTTGAAAATAGGTGAATGGAACGTAAATATCCAAAATAAAAGAATGTAAATATCCAAAATAAAGCGGACAAGATCAAATCTAACAAATGTTTTTATTTTTGATAAGCTTGACTCCTCCCCTAAAAAAGCGGGGCAGGCCACCATTTGATAACCACTGGGTTAAGGCATTTGATATTTGTATTGACATAGCTGATTAAATATCCCGGTTTCAAAAAAAAACACGCGGAGCTCTGAGGCAAATAAATTACCGTAGCTGAGCAATTCCGGAAAAATACCTGTCCTATTTCGCTAGATATCAGTGGAACACCTTTTAATAAAGCAGCTCTGCGTAATTTTTCTCACGGCACTCAGTAGAGATGGAAGAGTTCGCTGATATTTGCTGTTCAAACTCTTGCAAAGTCCTCTGTAAGCAGAATCTGAACGAAGTTTGCTCACAGCAAACACGGCGCGGCGGTGTGGCTCAACGGGCTAAGCGTTAGGAATACGCTCGCCACCGCACCTCTAACTACTCTGCGTGGGTTCGCAGGTTCGAATCCCATGCAGGGATGGTTATGTGTGAGAGGATTGCTGGACTCCTCGCCGTCGTTGGGTGGTTCACGTAACCGCTGGTCGGTTACGGCTTCCTCCATCACCAAGTCCATGCTTCCGAAAACAAACAATACAGTAAAACTAATCCCATACCCGACTTGGAAAAGGTAACCGGACGAGAGGCCGTGGTTCGCCATATGGATAAGCCGTCTTGTCGGCTTTCCTCTCCCCGGGATAAATATGTAAATCCTATTCTATTCATCAACTTAGGAATAAAAGTAGAAGCAGCCTCTCCAAGCTCACTATACGAGGCTTTTAGTCGAGCAGCTCCTGGGTCTATTATGTTGCTGAAACTATCATGAAATCTATCGAAATCCCTGTTCGAACGAGTCTCTGTCAAGTTGCAACTACAAGTTTTTTCACAACATTTAGGAATAATAGTAGTTGGCCTATAGAGGGGTCACCCCCTAGCCCCAATATACATTATAGTTGGCCTATAGAGGAGTCACCCCCTAGCCCCAATATACACTGCGGCCCCTCAAACAGATTCTCTTCTTCCAGATAACCATAGAATACAAGACATAGAATCCATGCTGCGGTCCGATGCTCCTCCACCCATGTATACAGAAATTGTCAAGAGAGCAGAAGCACAAGGGCACCAAGGTATATAGCTAAGATGTTATCACAGTTGAGCTGGGCGTCCTCAGCCTGTATTGGGTTTATAGTTAGAAGGGATGTCAGTTAGGCTGAGCAATTTTGATACCTGATGATTTCAGGACCAAATTAGATTTTTCTTTAATTGAATTAAATATGTAATTGTGTGTGGCTTTTTTGTTGTGATGGCTCCTCCGAGCACATAATTACTAAAACATAGAATCCACCGGAAAGGTTTAGTTAGAACAACTGTTTCAAACTACAATGATTTAGAGCAGCGATTCTCTCTTTTTTGCCCAGAAACTACCTTTGAATTTTGCAGGCCTTGTAGAACACCAAGAAATTAGAAGATAAAATAAACTGTTTCCAAAAAATTAGGTTCAAATCTTATTTTTCGGATTAATAGCCCAGACAGACCTCTTTCGTTCGCACAAGTGGAAAAACTTTTCTAATATTTTTCAGCCAAAGCAGCAGAAGCAAAAGGCAACAAAAGTTCTAGGAAGAAAACCCATAGTGATCGACCAAGCGAAACAAGTTCATCGAGGTCGAATGGGGGTCGAAGTTCATGGAGAATATCAGGAAGAAGTAAGTGATGAGTTGATTTCCACACCAAAGTAGGATGGATTGACTTTTCAAAACAGAGGTTTCCATCCTTTGTCATTAAAGTCCCCCCTTCGTCTATTTTGGAACTCTCCATTCCTCCCTGCCTAGGCATAGAAACTACTTCATATATTTAATATTAGAATAGGTTTTAAATGTCCCAGAGGAGGGAAAAAGTGGATAAGACGGCTTAGTCATACAGCAAACCACAGCATCTCGTCCAATTACCAGTCCAGGGCGGGTATGAGATTAGTTAGCCAGTTATTTCTTTCCAGATGCATGGACTTGATGGTGGAGGAAGCCATAACCGACCAGCGGTTACGTTATCCACCCTGCGGCGGTGAGGAGACCAGCAATTTTCTCGCTCATAACTATTTCCACCTGGGATTCGAACCCTGCAAACTAATACAGGGTATCCAGAGATGCGGGGTGGCGAGCGTATTTCTAACGCTTAGCAAGGTGAACCACACCGCCCAGCTGATATTTAATGGATCCTAATGGCTAGTTTTATGCACACGCCACACTCCTGTTTTTGTACAGTTCAAGTGGGTAGTTAATGTGTGCATAAATAATAATAAAGAATATTAGTTGTTGTACGACAGCAAATACTAAGCAAAATTACCCTCCGGTTGGGAAACACTTACTTGAAACATCACATAATGCTAAGCTAGTTGCTGGACAAAGGCGGGCTTTGAAGACGAATTTCACCAAAGTCTCGTCACACTATAAACTGTTAAAACATTCTTTACTTCCCCTTGTCCGACTGGACGCGACAAAGAACTGGGAGTGAGCGTCATATTTTTCAAAATTTCGTCTATGAGAGTATAGGAAATATACACTCGACTCCAGGCCATTCAGAAATTGAATCTCTCTTTACAAAAACTTAGTCTTCGCTCGATCTTCTGGTGTCCTATTTAGTGATTAGTTGAACTTATTATCACTATCAAGATTTTCGACAAAAATATGGAAAAGTCCTTGTAGTATTCTCTTCTGCAATCAGCTGTTTGGCGTAACCTTGAAACATTCTGTAACATTTTCAGGTATTTTTGCGTCATTTCGTGCCAAATCTTCGATACTACGATCGCGACGTAGCGAGAGTGCCATCCAGTGTCCAACTGTTGATGAACAAGTAACGATACGATGCCATCACAGCGACCATGCACTCCCCCCTACTCTAGAAGAGATTGAATCAAGCTCAGGAACTCCTCAGAGGAGAGCTGAAAACGAGACAGAAGTTACCGTGGAAACCGTTAATGGCGTCACAAGAGAGACTGACAATCGAAAAGAAATACCAGCAGAGCGGAACAAAGTTTTTGTTTACGATGTAAACGAATTACAATCACCTGAGGATGATGACGATGTTTTCTTATGATGTCATCGGTTTGATGATGTCATATACATCGGCAAAACATGAACTATAAGTTTTGCAGTGATGTCACATATGCTTTCGTCAATGCAATTATGATGTCATGACACATATGATGTCACAATAAGATATGAGGATAACCATTCCAAGGACTGTTAGTGCAATATGCTAGACTTTTGAAACTTTTTTAGTGAGTGGGTCAAACATTATAAATTGATCATGAGATAGGACTGCGGGTCATAGATTCATTCAATGTTTGCATCAGTGAGTGCTGTTGCAACCTTAGTACACTTATTGTTAGATTGAATTAGGGCCGACATTTCTAAAAAAAAAATTTATCGTGTTGGGTTTTGCGACCTAATATGTCTTTAAAAAACCATGGGGGTTCAATGGTTTGCCATCTCTAGCCTAGTTCTTAGAGCGGTGTCCTAACCCATGACATCCCCTCTCAGATCTGTGCTTCCAAAGAGCTAGACAAAGTCTTGTACACTTTTTTTCATTTTGAAGTTATTTTTCACACAACTTCGTATTTTTGTAACTGCCGTATTCATAAAATCTTTTCTGCAAAGGGTCGCATTGAGAAAAGCACTCAATTTAATTAGAAGACCAAGTTTTCATATAGTCAGTATTCATATGGTTCGTTGTGTAGAAAGCTAGACAGGCTTTCTGTAGCGCATGATGAGTATTCGAGTAGTGGAGGAATAGTGTATATTTACTGCCTCCAGTGTTACCCCCTAATAAGGTCGAGATCACCCCATACCCAAATGAATGTCAAATTTAATCTCCAATGTAGGTCTAATCCTATTTACCTCCATAAAGGTTGATCTACCCCAAAAATGGAGGTCAAATTTACCCCCAATCTGGTTTATTTTACTCAAAGAATGTAGCCCCCAATGCAAATCGAATTCTATTTATCCTCATAGAGGTTGATCTACCGCTACAATGGAGGAATAATACCCCAAGCTGATTTAATTTAAACCCAGAATTTTAACCCAATGCAAATTGAATGATATTAATTCCTATTCAGGTCAATCTACTCCCCAATATATTTCAAATTTACCCCCAAGCTGGTTTGATTTACTTCCAGAATGTAACTCCCAATGCAAATCATATTTACCCCATAGAGGTCGATTCACCCCTTCAATCGAGGTCAAATTTACTCCGTAATGGAGGAATAATATACCTCCAGCTGCTTATGCCAACTCTAAGCATTTGTCCACCCATTCTGTCATCAGAACCTGTTTATTCCCAACTATTTACCTAGGTTTTATTGAGTCGTATATTTTTAATCCACATTTTCAAAATGCCAAAATGTAATTGGATGTTTATTTTCACTGGTTATTTTTAGAATAACACGTTTTACCTTCAGGCTGATAGAAACCATGGTTATGGGCCACAAATTTGTTAGGCGCTCATGTAGTATGTGAACCAAGATGGCGGACACCGGAACGTAGTATGTGTACCAGGTTAGGGTTAGGCCATAATTCCAGGTAGAATACTAGTCTAGTCCCCGAACTCGAAATAGAACTAAAATAAGGAAAATTGGAATAAAATTATGACCTAACCATAATCTGGTACACATACTACGTTCCGGGGTCCACAATCTTGGTTCACATGCTACGGGAGCGCCATTTTTGTGATTATTGAAGATCCATTTTGATTCATTTCTGTTTACAAACATACTCATGATGTCTCTTGATTTGGTTTCTTAGCTTCATTTGGTTAGAATCATTTCCTGTTTAGCATCCAACTGGAAAGTTTATGTTAAAGTTCACAAATAGACAGAAATTCAGTTTATTCTTTATGGATAAATTTTGTGCCCGTAAACACATATTATTTCATCAAAGTTTTTGTAATAATAAATTTGGTTTTTCTCTAAGAGTGGGGGCAGCAACACATCTACTTTAAATGGCACCCATTTCAATTTGGTTTATTAGTTGAAACTTTGAGTGGGGATTGGAGTCTCGGTCAAAACTTCTTCCAATCTAGAGTTGTTTTCAAATGACTCTGACTTTGGAATTTACCAAACTCCGCAGCCCCGGAATCAGCATTCTATGAGTCGTCTGTAACGTTTGAAAAATAACTCGCGAAACAGTCCGTCCATGACTTTACAATGCTCTATGTGTTCTTGATTGCAATTTATCGAATTACCTTTATGCACTTTTAATTCAGCCAATATATTTTTGTTATTTTCTCTATCTGTATTTCGACACACAACTGCTGCTATAGTGGCCTATTCGGTTAAAAGTTTCGTTCTGTACAATTGTGCTTCAATGAGATTTATATGGGAAATGGAAAGCCTATAAAACAGGGATAACAAATCCGGGGCAAACTTGTAAGATGGATCAATCATATGGTAAACCACGGCCTCTTGTCTGGCAACAGGGTTACCAGCCCATGCCAGCAATAGCTGACCAGTAACTTGATTTATCGGGATGACAACGTGTTTTTCCCAACGATCTGGAATTGACGTTGTTGCTGAAGCCAAGGCAGTTTATCCAAATGGCGGACCAAAGTTTCTTTTCTTGTTACAGTTAAGATTTACATTTTACATATCTGTCTGGGGGGAGAGAAAAGCTGATGTGACGGCTTAATAATATAGTGAACCACGGCCTCTCGACAGTTACCTGTTCATGTCGGGTATGGGATTAGTTGGCCAGTTTTGTTTCAGATGCGTGGACAGGGTACTTGAGTGGTCACCGACATGACAAATGTGATAAATAGTCAGGTATTTAGGAGGAATCGCTGAGTATTTTATGGTGCCAAATTCGTAAAAAGTTTGGTGGCAAATCAAAATTCATTATTAGAATGATGGTTTGTAAACAACATTATGTCAGAATGCAACAGTAGTTTGATAGTTGGGTTACTCCTCTAGTGTGTGTACAAGGTTAGGCCATATTTTTATTCCGATTCTCCTCATTTTAGTTTTATTACGAGTTCAGGAACTGTCTGTCCTAGCCAAGTGAAGCCAAGCCCCCTGCCCATAGGTTTCAGTGCCTTCACACAACTTGATGTAAAGCAGGCAAACAAAATTAGTTACCTCTATATTGGTAGACACACTTCTGGAACGCCGAAAGTTGTCCTGGTATTCTTTATACGACGTTCAAATTGACACTTCCCACTGACTTGGTAATTGTGATATTTTCAGTAAAACAGATATCACTGGACTGTGAATAAGTCTTGTTCGTGGGTTGCCCCATGTCCGGACCCTCAGTTGTCATTTGTGCACTGGTTTAAATTTCCTACTTTTACAACTCTTGGACTATTTTACGATATAGTTTGCCTTTAAATCAGGCCTATGCTCCATGTTGTTGTAAGATTGCGGTGTGACTAGTTTAAGCCCTGCTTATCAGAATATTACTTTAGCTATTCAAACCACGTGATGTTCTCAAAAATTTCGTACATTCATGAGCGTTTTCCTAAGCCCTCGTTTACAGAACAAGTTACACAAGACGATAGATATGATGAATATCTGTATAGTGCAGCATACCTTAGAGCACGAGAGCTTTTTAGAAATAATCAACCACTCAAATTGTTTTCACTACTTTTTTATTCTGATTAATAATTTCTTTTTGCACACAAAATGGTCGAATCAAAGCAGGGGTCCAAAATTAGAAGCGGAAGGATATTCGTCGGTTAGGAGAAGGGAGCACCCACACGGGGCAAATATCACATAGAAATATGGTATAATTAAATTGTTCCGAATATACATATGCTCAAACCGTGCCAGAAAGCAGAAAGAAAAAAGTTTTGCACTGTTTAGCTTTAGTTCGGCGAGCCATATGAAATCGTTACACAGGCCGTAATTAGGTCGCGGTTTGGGAACCACTGTACTAAACAGAAAAATGATAAATTTGGATAAGTTTTCTTCAAGTTAAAAATGATTCGGATGATAAAAACGAATTTTAAATATTGATTCGACTTTCTTCCAAAAAATTTCTATTGCTTCCACTGCATTTGCTTCGGCATCCGCCGGGTTTCGAGTAAAAATAAAAGCAAATCATGATTTGAGACCGAATAACGCGAATTGTCTTTCTAGAAATTTTTGAATTTGAATCATTAAGGTAAGGAACCAGGTGGTGAAACCCGACACTGGTTAAGAAAAAATTTCACTGAGTGAAATCAGAAAGAATAAAATACATGAAAAGTTTGGTTAAAACATTCGTCCACTATATCTTATGAACCTGCTGTGGCTAAGCATTGGATGACTGGTTGTAACTTTGATTCAACATTTACTAGGATAGGATCTGTAGATCTATCCCAGGGAGAGGAAAGCATAGAGGATGGCTTGCTCAAATGGTGAACTATAGAACTTCTATATAAGGATTTGTATATACTTCCCAAGGAGAAAAAAGTTTATAGCAGGGTGTCCAAACTAAGGCCCGCAGGTCAAATGCAGCGCTCAAAGAAAGATTGTGGGGCCCGCGGTGAAGTGCCAATTTTGAATGGTGCATATCAGCCATATCAGCAAGGCCCCTTAACAATGCTGTGTGTTCAATAACGAAAAGAAACAACCTTTGTGCCTATGCATATTATTGAATGATTGTAAAGTGTCTGGTTGGGAGCAAATGTTTAAATAATCATGTGGAACACAAAAATATTAAACTTATCAAACAATGATGAAAGCATAACTTGAAAAAGTTAGAAATTCACATGGACTAAAAAGATCGGGGCATTGTAAAAATAATTAACCCGAGCCATGTGTTGAGACAGAATATAAAAAATGGTGAAACTAGGGTCTTTACAAAATAAAGGAATGTAATTTTAACAAATTGAATTCTTCTGGAGACTATTCGTTCTGGTTCAAGAAAACAGATTTTAAATGTTTTTTTTTTGCGAATGGAAAATCTCAAGAGAAGCAAATTGTTTGATAAGATAGTTCAGGGTTGATTTCTGCATTATAAATAGAAAGAAATCTTTTAAACCATATAGCAGTGGTCGGCAACATTTTTTAGGTGACGGACCGGTAAAGCGTAATCAAAATTTTGACGGACCACCTTTATACAAACGAGCTAAGCTTATGTAATAAATTGTACGCGTTAGAAAATTTATGTTGAAATTATCTCCAAAAACAGGGGTACCAGTGATGCTATTTAATGCGAGATCTGTATTTGTTTGTCCATTAACTGTCCCCAATTTGAAGATATGGTCGACCGTGATACACGTAACATGTTTCTTAAGCACACCCGATTTTGGTATTTCCTTTTTATAGTTGTAAACTTGTAATTGTAAATATCGAAATCCCGACCCACATAAAAAGGTAACACTGTCTGTGAAGCTTATCTTGCAATGTATGAAAATATGCTGTGAGACTCCTTGCAGTTGTATTTAAAATTCATCGAAGTATTCTATCTATTTCTGCTTTATAAAAAGGATGAAATCCCTGAGAAAACCACGGACTCACATCTGGTTGACAGATAAAATTGAATAACCCAGATGCAGCAGTTGTTCCCAGATAAGTTGGATTAATTTCACAAACACAGAGCTTTTGACTTCACAAAGGACAGAATGATACGGCTGAATGATCAGTATTTACAATTGTGACCAGTGAAGCATATAATGGCAGAAATGAATAAAATAAACAAATCACAAGGCAAACTATCTCGTCCATTTCTATACAAGATATTGAGAAAAATAATCAGTGTGATTATAGATATTTCATTAGGTGCTCCCGAAGTATTCGTACCAAGATGGCGCACAACCTGAACATAGTATCTGTACCGGGTTTAGGGTAGTTTAGGTTGTGCGTCATTTTGGTACGAATACTTCTGGAGCGCCTATGATTATGCATTAAAATGTAAATACATTGATATCATTTAAACTGTAAGTGGATGAGTGACTTGAAATACTCCAAGGCTACACTGTGAAGGAAATATACAACAGTTTTTATGCAAAGCAATAAAACATTTTTGAAATGTCGGGGCAATATCAACATCAATAAGAGTAAGAATTAGTTGATATGTGACTTGAAACACCGAAAGACTATACTGTGAAGGAGACGAGACGAAGAGAAATCTGCATTACAGTATTTTATTGAATAAATGAGGAAATATTGTTGGTAAGTAAAAGATTTTAGTAAGGCAGAATAGATTAACAGTTATCAGATTGATATTCGAAAAATCATGGTTTTTAGTTCACTTTGAAACAGTACGGACAGCATGATATGACTGAATGCACATTTTTCAATAAATATTTCTGTCCAAACCATAATTGTGCTGAGGAAATTTGAAACATTAAGGTCCCATTTTTACTACTAAATCAATAAATTATTCTTGAGTTATTCTGACAGCATATGGCGAATCAGGGCTTTTCGTACTGTTATCAGTCCTAGATTTTGGAATATATAGTTGAGTATATAATTGTTGCAGAACGTATGCCTAATGCTTATCGTGGTACATCAACTGTTAACGTAATTAATCTCGCACAGAACTTTGAATAGGGATAATGTTTGCTTGAACGTAAAATATTTGCATGGGTTGACTGGTTGTATCTATTTCTTCTGTGTCAAGGTGACACTTTCCCCCGTAAGCATAAACCATTCGTCCTCCGGGGACACCTCCTCGATCCACACCACCAGTTCCTGCAACAGATAAGATAAATTTTATCGAGTTAGAACAAATGGCTGGGTTGGATCTTTAATTATTATTCAACTTCTTCGCGGGAGTCGCTGCTGAATAAACACTTTCCATAGTATCATCCCTTCACTCTGGATTGGCATTCTTAATTTGATTCACATAAAATATGTTGCGTAATCAGCAAGATGGCAAAATTAACCCCAGATTACATCTTCATCTCATAAATGCTAAATCGTTGGGTGCTTTCATTATTACCACGGAGTAATCTATCAATACTTTCAGTCTCTGAGTGCTCGTATTCATTCAATATAATACTTCAACGACTGTTTGTCGAATCAGTCTGGGGTTGATTTGGGTCTAAACACAGAAGCTCTATATGTATAAGAAACTGCTTGTCTAGAGACTGTTTCAGTGAAAAAAATATGACCTAGCTTGGGCCAGGTTCCCCAACAACAAGAGTTTGCTCTTTTCCCAAAATAACCCGAGTCATGTCTTATGGAAGCAAGCAATACATGAGCAAGTATACCATAATGCATGGTTTGATGCCCTAGCTAGAAGTCGAGTCAGATAGTGTGAACTTGATGTGACGTTTCTATGTCAGGCTTCACTATAGAAAATGTACAGTAAATTTACCAAATAATGAAGTAAGCATGGTATAAAGTATTTGTATTTTTTCAAAATTTTAAACTCAAGATAGAATTTAAGATTTCTAAAAGTTGAGAGTAGGAATCGGAATTAAATGACTTACAACCATGTCGATTTCAAAGATTAGTGGGGGAGCAGATAAAGTTAAATTCAAAATTATCAACCTTGAGTGAACAAAATAGTAGATTTCTGTATGACACAGAGTTAGAAGTAACTTTTCTACATTGCCCTGGATAGGTTTGTATCCAACCTCTAACCCAGTGGTTCCCAACCTTTTTTGGCTCGCGACCCCCTTTGGTGGTTTACACATACCTCGCGACCCCCTGCCTCACTTTCTATACTTATCAATAAAATAGGTGGCAAAGTGGAGGCGCAATTCTTTGCCACTTCATGGCAGCTGCTGCCACGAACGAACCGATGACACCTCTTGCCGTGGTTATGGCGCTATTCCCGTATATTCACAAATTCGTGTACCGGATTTTAGTTTATCATGCGTAATTATATCCACTCAAACCTGAACCCAAATCACCACCCGTTCGTGTGACGTCACAATGATTTACATGCCATAATCACCTCGCGTCGCTTGCTTGGTTTCCAATAAAGAAGCGACATTCTGGGGTCTCACGACAGCTAGTGGAAATCTTCCGGAGGCAGACGAGAGTCCATTCCAAAATTCTCCGCGTTCTATTGACAATATTAAACCTGAAGTTTTGTATTATTTTGTACTGTTTTGCAAGGCCTCAGATTGGGAACCACTGATCTAACCCATTGTTTGTGACATTACTGTGAAAAAAAAAGTCAATTCAACGTTTTTTAGGTTTTTCTCATAAGTTCAAAGTTGTCCAATATGCTGGGATTAATGTTTTATTAGACTTGGCCCACAAGTAAATCATGCTTGGTACAAACAACTCACCGTTGCTGGGATTGAATCCAATTTCCTCTGAATCATCTCAACATCTTCAGGTTGTACTTGGTAATTCAGATCCATCTCCTCGATGATGTGAGGTAACATATCACAGATTGCAACAGCTCCAACGTGGAAGAGTTTCTTTTGTATAAACAATGATTGATGTCAGGTGAGCAGGTTGTAGAATGATTGTTATCAGGGATGCTGATTCATGTAATGGAGATGTGTTCCATGTTTTGCTATAAAAAGGCTCTAAACAAGCAGCTACTGATGGAAGGCAATAGGTTTTGGGATAATCAGAATGTCACTGATTTCGAGTTTACTGTCCAATTTTATACGACTAAGATGAAGTGTCGGACATGGGGCTTGAACCTAAGAACTTATATTTATATTATTTTAGTATTTGCCTTATTGATATTTGTGCCCATTCCATTTTCGCTTATGGTCGGTGCCAAATCGAATAACATTTTTTATGACAGGATTTTGTTGCATAGTGAACCATTTCGGAACGGTTATAATGAAACTGAATTTCACAAAAGAAATATATTCAGGTGTGAATGGTTGGTGTCGGTTAGATACAAGTCAGAAAATGAAATTGTCACCGAGATGATCGAAATGCAAAGAAGTCGATGTTTGCACACGTTTCTGTGGATTTCAATGTAACGCTACCTAACACATATAAATATTAGATGAAAGGCCGATCAACCCGTCTGGGGTTTGAACTTTCACCGCCTCACCCACTAATTTCCACGACAAACCGAATAAATCACAGCCCTACAAACTATATGAAGTAGTTGCTTGTTTGGAGCTTTGTTCATAGCAAAATCATCTTAGTTTGACTTTTTAAAATCAAATCAAAGTTATGGACATTAACATTGGCTTTAGGATTGACTTTTGCTTGAAATTTCAATGGCTTGAAGAGACAACTACTCATAATACGCGTTATGGTAGTAGCTGATCAGTGTTTCACCGGTATGACAATTAGTTTCGGTTTTGAAATATTACTTGCAAAATTCAAACAAACTGATCAAGTCAGAAACCTTGATGTTGAATAAGATTCAATTGATGAACTCACCGATGGGATTTTTCCAAATTTAACCGTTTTTATCTGAAAAAAAAAACTAAATTTTACAAACAAAGGCAATAGAGATGTGTAGTTTGAAGAAATAAACCAAATTAGGAAAATGATTTAGATCGCACTGTACTGGTTATGCGAGACAGACTTGCAAAAGAATAATGTTAGGTTGGTCTTAAGAATTCCTTTTGTACGCTGTAAAAGTATAGTGCTCGTGGTTAACCAGAATTTAGTGGTATATTCTAGGCGAGGATGCATGAGAGCAATAATATTGCAACCGATAACTTATGAGATAAAACTTCTCGTTGCTATAGCTACAATAACCACATTCCATAACAATCAGTGTTAACTCTAAGCGAATTATGAGTGCGAAAATGCTTTGCAGTCCATAAAAAAGGTGCGAAAGTGTTTTGGCCGATTTTAAACAGTTTGGTGTAACTCATTTAACACAGCATAGATACTCAAAAAGCCCTCCTTCCGTTAATATTGCAAATTAAGGAGGAGCCTTTCCGTTAACGGAATTCCTTTAAATCCTTGTTTGAAACGAGCTAATTCATTGGTAACGAAAGCACACATGTCGCGAACGAAACTTTCGTGCAATCAACCACTCGTGTCGGTTGCTAACTCGCGTGGACAGCAAAGGCTTTCACATTTGTGTTAGTTTTTCCATCTAACAGACAACGATTGGGAAATGCAGGCTGTAATCGCTATTAGTCACTACCCGCCATAGCTCGGTGCCAAATGCCAAACTTCGCCTTAGGAATACATTGATTTTTTGCCGGTGCTGATAACTGTTATAAGGCGTTGAATCATTCGTGAAAAGCCAGTGCAAAATAACATCCCCCGCCACTGCCCAAAATAAAAATAGTAATTATCCAATTAGGGTTAGGAAGACAGATAGCGCCGGAAATTCTACTTTTCAATTTATCCCTAACCCTTCGGATAATTATTAATTTATTTTAAATCACTTTGAAAGTCGCCACCCGCCGTTTTAAGAAATAAGTTGACCTACGCTTCCTCCGAATATTTTTTTCTCTGAAATATTACGCTAAATCACTTTGAAAATCTCCCTTGTTTCATGAGATAGCTTTACCTAATTTATCATTTATATTTGTATCATACTATCTCAGAGCTTACGCAAAGACCTGAAATTTTTAAATGTCGGCGTGTCTTGGTTTGCGTGCGAGTCAATCATATATTAGCAAAATTTTCAGGAATGCAATGAACGTCCAGCATTCATGAATACCACTCTCAGTGATGCTGCAGACCTAGTATGAAATATTCGCATTCCAATGTCACTTGCAACGTTTCCATATATTACAATTACACTAATAGGAACGATGACACCAAAGAGTTTTCTTTTGCGAAGGTACACGAAATACAAAGAGGATTATTCTCGATAAAATCATGAAGATAAAAAATAAACAAATGACATGACAGTGGTTTTCAAATAATTTGAAGTGAGCCGCGAAATATCAATCCATTTGATAAATAATTTTCAATGGACATTATGATCTCTGAAATCCTGGAAATTAATGTTGGAAGAGAAGTACGATTCGCATTCTCAGATATCAGACATCCAGTCGCGATATTTAATCGTTCATGTGCACAAATCTTACATGTAGCATTGGTTAGTTGTGCATGAAATGTAAAACTCTCGTTTGTGTTTTTCAATTCAACAAAATCAAATTCGTTTTCCCGTGCATCATTACTCCATTACTCCTATTTTTAATAGTAATTACGCCTTTTCTGCGGGCAAGACTCGTAAAATAACATCTTGAGGCAAATTTTTATTGCAAAATCTTAATTTTCAGTTATTAACGTTATACAAACCATGTGTGGCAACTCTTATTTTCAACTTTCAATCCTTGACTGAAATACCGCACGGTACACATCATTTTCCGGGAGAACTCTAAGGCGGCGAAAAGTCGCTTAATTTAAAATATAGAATGTTTCACGTATTCCAAAAATTTAAGATTGTTTCAATGGAGCAATCAGAATATCGCCAGTAGGTCGCAAGGATTTAAATCCTCCGGATTTGGTATTCTATATTGCCCACCCCTACGAGTATCATGACTATTTGAATGACTCCAATAAATTCACTAAGAAGAAAACAAAGACCCGTCATACTTGCACTAGAAATTCGTGCAATTTGGTCACAATTCTTCGATGTCATTGATAGTCACATGACCACTCTGGTTCAAAGAAACGCACTACGTTGTATTCCAACATCTAACCGACGCTGCCGATCTTTTTTGCGGGAGAAGGGAATCGGCGTGCTTGTATAATAATCATATGAAAAACAAGAATTTTGCCATTAATGCGAAAGCTTCAT